AGGGAAAGATGCAACATGAACCATTATTTTAGGCAACCCTAACAAAAAACGCTGCCAAGTTCTGACACAATGATTTCTTATCTCTTGGAATTGTATTTTATAGTTATTAAAAGAGGTCTTTAGACTTACTGATATCTTAAGGTAGATTTTTATCATATATCATTCTTCATATATCTAAAAACAGAAAATGTAAGCAAAATAAATTGGTTAAGGTTGTCAAAGCCCTTGACCAAAGACCACCAGAAACACACTCATAGTCAAAAAAAGTCAGGTTTATTTAACTTGAAGCAGTGAGGAGAGTGCATCCTGGGGACACCCTTGCGTGTATCTCCTTAAATCTGGGTTTTTGTTCCACGGTTCTGTGGAGGGATTAGGGAAGTAGGGACCAGTTCTGGATTAAATGCTGTCAAGAAGAAGAGGCAATTCAGACTGGGTATCTTTATAATGCTTACCTAGGAGGCAGGAGGATTCACAGAGGGCTAGAGTTGTATCTTTGGTAAAGAAGCACCAATTGGGAATTCCCTGGTGGCCTAGTGGTTAGGATTCCGGGGGGGCCCAGGTTCAATCCCTGGTCAGGGAACATCCCACAAGCTGCGTGGTGTGGCAAAAAAAAAAAAAAGGACTGGGCTTCCCTGGTGGCACAGTGGTTGAGAGTCCACCTGCCGATGCAGGGGACACGGGTTTGTGCCCCAGTCCAGGAGGATCCCACATGCCGCAGAGCAGCTGGGCCTGTGAACCATGGCCGCTGAGCCTGCGCATCCGGAGCCTGTGCTCCGCAGCGGGAGAGGCCACAACAGTGAGAGGCCCGCATACCACAAAAAAAAAAAAAAATGACCCAGTCACTCAGAGAAAGGCCAAGTCATTTTTTGTGGTCACAAAGGGGCCCCATCTGAGCATCTAAGCATGTCTCATTCTAAGCACTGATAAATAACAAAATTCAGCATCCTATCCAGTAAACAGAAACGTGCTCCGCGGAAGTGTACAAAATGGAAGGGTTTTACAGAAGGAAGGACGGATGGGTAGGGAAGTTATTAGCAAAAGGAAAGAACTGTTTCAGGCCAGGTCATATTCTTTTTTGGGGGAAGGGAACGGAAGGGGTCTTTATGCAGATTACCTCACTAGTGCTGATCAGGAAATTTCAGATTATCTGTTTATAGGTCACATTCCTGGGAGAGGTTGAAAATGCAATTAAGTCTTGGTTTGCTGTCATGGGGGCAAATGACTCTGTTCTGGGGCCTGTTGTTTCTTCTTCTTCTTTTTTAACAGCATGGTTTATGTTCTGCTGGTATCATCACTATCTGAATATCAGAAGGGCCATCTTACACTTTCTTAGTTCTGGACCAGGGATCCAACCCACGCCCCCTGCAGTCCCCATCTTACACTTTTTTGATAGTCTTAAAACTTCATATTGATGTCCGTTAGAGAAAAAAGCACCCCCATTTCAAAGATGTTAACATGTAGGGA